CTTTGGTTTAAACAATATTTATTCAATAAATCAAATCATGAAAATATAGATAATATATTATAAACCCGCTTTCACCTCTTTAAAATTAGACTACTTATTGACGCATCACAAATGATTGGTTCATGTAACCACGTGCACAACTACAGACAAACCGCCAAAAATATATCGTTATTTAAAACGTTCCTTTTAGATAACGTTTTCCCGCTATCTCCGAAACGCGAAAAAAATAAAGGTATAATGTAGTGAACCCGAACAGTTACAGTTGTTAAATGATTTGGTGTATCAAATTGTTCTTTTCAGAATCAATAAAAACGTTTTACATTCCAGTGTACGAATGTTTATTTTTTTTCAATCGCAGTTTTCCCTCGCACTTGCTCTGTGTGGCTGTCCAAGTTCTAACGAGCGAGAGGTTTCATGGTTAAGGTCACTGCATATGAGAAAGGTATCGGCTAATTAAAGTATTAAAGTACGGGAAGCCAATAATTCAATAGCAGTATATTTCTGACGAATTTGATAAGATAAAGGATTTTCTTTTACAAAAAAAATCCATGTACACTTGTTTTATATTAAAACTTCAAGTATATTAAACATGTTCATTTTTTTTTAATTTGAAGTTTCATGTGACTTTAAACATCTAATTTAAGCAACTTATTACTATCAACTTATAAATTAATATATTTGAAAAAGTTTGGGAAATCTGTTGAATTCTAATAAATTAATTGTAGGATGTAAGAATGGATTTCCTTATCAAAGAGAAAGGCGGCAAGGAAATATCAGCTAAACTTTTATTTTCGTCTTGCATCAAGTATTTAAAAGAGCATTTCAGGAAGACGATTGATGACAGGCAGATAGGAATTCAGGAAGACAAAATTAAGTGGGTTATAACTGTGCCTGCGATATGGACGGACTCTTGTAAACAGTTCATGCGAGAGTCTGCTACAGAGGTATAATTATGTGCATAACCAAGACAGGTTGAATATTAATAAATGTTAATTGATAGTCAGCTACAAATGCAATATATATTTATTACACAGGCAATCGGTGACCTAATATGGTATATATACAGTCAGTAATTTTTATATTTGGCAAGGGCTTTGCGGGAGTCCCCATCTGAAATTCACTGAATGTGTCTATACGATTTTAGATAGACAACCGCGGAATTGAAATTATAATGCAAGTTTGCGACCGAGTATCATTTCGCGAGCTGAGTACTTTGTGTTATATTAATGTATATAGATCATATTTTTCAGAGACAAGTACCTATTTCCTAATTCCCTTTCCCGTCTTTTTAACACCATTTATGAATCGGGATTAGATATTTGAAATAAATGTATTCTCCCCCTTCATTTATTAGATTTTAGTTTGGTTCAACGAAATTTATACGATATATTTGGTTTACAGTTTGATTCAGAAGAAACACAGACATAGCTAGATAATACAATTAATTATCTAATTACTACCACAATTTGATATCAATAAGTATTGTAATTTTCATTGTTATTGATAAATGTAATGTCAGTATTACAAATCTAATCTTGAATCAATCATAATTCTATCTTATTTTGGGGAAATATTTTTACAAATTCAAATGTGACGTCACTTTGTGTGTTTTTTTTAGAATTTCTAATGTGACGTCACTTTGTGCGTTGATGCTTTGGCTAACCCGGCTGTGTATTTTTATATGCTGGATTAAGTTGTTTTATGTAATGTATCCGTTTTTATTCTGTAGTTAGTCCCCACTTTGGTTTTATCATGTATATCTATTATATAGTCATTTTATAAAATTTACTGTTTGCAAAATTATAAATTATTCTAAATAATAAGGATGTTCTTGTCCCAGGCAGAAAACCCTGGCCGTGTTAGGCGCAACTTTTTGGAAGTTTTGGTCCTCGGTGCTCTTCGGCTTTGTACTTGTTTTGGCTTTCAAGCTTTTTTCATCTGAGCGTCACTGGATGGTCTTGTGTGGACGAGACGCACGTCTGGCGTATTGAATTTTAAGCCTAATACCTTTTGTTAGCTATTATTCGTGTGTTTCTTTGTCCTATATGTTCTCCCATTTATTTGTATTGTGGTCCTGTCATGTGATGTTGTCGTTTTGGTGTTGTGTTTGACGTTGCCATTAAAGCGGGAGGTTTGGCATGCCACAAAACCAGGTTCAACCCACCATTTTTTTCTTAAAATGTCCTGTACCAAGTCAGGAAAATGGCCATTGTTATATTATAGTTCGTTTCTGTGTGTGTTACATTTTTAATGTTGTGTTTTTGTTGTGTCGTTGTTCTCCTCTTATATTTGATGCGTTTCCCTCAGTTTTAGTTTGTAACCCGGATTTGTTTTTATCTCTCTCGATTTATGAGTTTCGAACAGCGGTATACTACTGTTGCCTTTATGTATTCCTTTGGTAACATTTTGGATTGAGGCCGAGAGCTGGATAAGTTATGAAACATTAAACCAAGGATTGTAAAAGGTTATATTTAACCACAGGATGAACAACAGATAAAAATCTAAATAGGGTTTGATTTTTTATATTTAACCCTAGGTTAAAATTTATCCCAAAGATGAACAACCAACCACTGAAAGATAAAAAATAAAAAAATATTATGAACTTTGGTAGTTAGTCTTTAACATAAGCTACAAATTAAGTTATTAATAAACGTATAGCATAAACAATGACACCTTATTTTATTCTTGTTTTTCATTTTTGCTTATATGCTATGTCTATAGAGTGTCTATATGATATTTTTTTTTCTTTCTTGGCATAGTTGTTTGTTTTATAGTAACTAAGATTATAACACAATGTTGAAATTGAGAATTCAAACGGGGAATGCGTCAAAGAGACAACAACCCGACCAAAGAGCAGAAAACAGCCCAATGCCACCAATGGGTCTTCAACACAGCGAGAAAATCCCGCACCCTGAGGCGGGCTTCAGATGGCCCCTAAACAATAATGTATACTAGTTCAGCAAAAATTGACGTCACACTAAACTCCGAAACAAATAAATCAACCAAAATTAAAAAAAACATAAAAGACTAACAAAGGCCAGAGGTTCCCGACTTGGGACAGGCGCAAAAATGCGGCGGGGTTAAACATGTTTTATGAGATCTCAACCCTCCTCCTATACCACTAGCCAATGTGGAATAAACAAACACACAGCAATACGCACAATATAATTCAGTTTAAAAGAAGTCCGAGTCCGATGTTAGAATAGGTAACAGAAGAAACAAAGCAAAATGACAATAATTTACATAAATTAACAAAGGACTACTAGAGTTACTGACATGCCAGCTCCAGACCTCAACTAAATTGATTGAAAGATTATATCTTCATCATATGAAAATCAAGCACAATCCCTCCCGTTAGGGGTTTAGTATCATATCATCATAAAATATATGACATAAGAACATAACCCGTATCATGCCAACAACTGGTTTTAGAATAAATGTATTTCCTATGATTGCTATTCGGTATTTTTGTTATTTTTGTTATTTTACTTTTTACATTAGTTTATGATTATTCTGATCATTGGTCAAAAAAGATCAGACACAAGTTTTAATAACTTCTGAAGTCTTCTTCTATATGCACCATTATACGAATATTACACAGGGCATAAAAAGCAATTATTTTTAACATTTACAGAAGTCTACTTAGGGTATAAAATATGCTTGCAGGACATTATTATAGGAGATTAATTGTTCAGATTTCTCAAATTAGGCAGGTATTCATGGAAACCAGTTTACACTTGTGTTTGAACCAGAGGCAGCTTCTGTCTGTGCTCGATTTCTTCGGGTGGATAAGACTGAGAATAAGCACCACTCAATCATCCTTAAAACCTTCCAGCCTGGAACAAAGATTTTGGTTGTTGATGCTGGAGGTAATTTATCTTATTATACTTCACGTTAAAATACCAGATTTTGATTGGTTTATACGAGTGAGACAATTTACTCTATCCTATGGCTCAGCGGGAGACAATTATTTGAATGTCACCCTCTCGTGCAGACCAATCAAAAATCGATAATTTATAGGACAGTGATTTTAATTTGCATCAATGATTTAAGACAGTGCTAAAAGTGTTTCAACCTCAGACCTTTTTCATCATAGTTAGTAACTTTCAATTTACAATTTGAAAATACAGTAATGACAGAACGGCCAGTATAATAAATTAAATAACACATACCTTATAGGGTGATAGACAAGATTGTTACCCCTCGAAAAAACTTTTTCAACCTTGTCTTCGCCTCGGTTGACAATGTTTTCTCGGGGTAACAATCTGCTCTATCACCCTCTCATCTATGTGTTATTTATATAAATTATATTTGAGTTGACCCAAAAAAAACCAATTCAACATATATAGATACATGGTCTTTAAAGTAAGTTTAGTTAGGGGGGGGGGGGGTAAAGGATCACTCAAAAATCGGATGTTTTGGAGAGATTATGTGATTTAAATTGTTTAGATAAGGTTACATGGCAGTTGTTTTCCAGTCGTTCTGTTGGTTGATATTGTTTGATTTTGTCAGTTTTTATGGACTTCCCCTTTTTTATTTGACATGGGGTTCGGTATTTTGTTATACTTTTTTTTACATGTTATAAATTCTTGGTAGTGTAATATTCAATTTGATCAGCTATAACATAAGATAGTGCAATCCAAATCTGATGTATAAAGAGTATAGTGTTTTACTACTGTTACCAAACGACTACAGACTCAAAGGAAGTATTCAAACATCTGTTTTATCGACATTTTTTTATAACTATTAGATAATAGCATCTATGATGTGATAATCATATGCCGAGGGTTTATATGAAATATAAAGAAAGGTTTGATGCTTAATTAATCAAGAGAAATGACTGGTAAATATTTACTACTTGCTTGGAATATATTAGATATATTAAGTTGATGTTTACGGACATTGATTCAAATACATTTTTTGGGAGTGCCTCTATTTTATTTTATTTTATTTTCTCGATAAGGCCACATAATTGATTTTTAAATCATTTCAATCTTTAGGTGGAACAGTTGATATTTCTGCCCAGGAAATATTACCTGATGATTGTTTGAACATCATCCACAAAGTACGCGGTGGGGATTACGGTGGAAATTCAGTGAATATGGCGTATAGGTCGATGTTGGTCCGTTTATTCTCTGGCCCGTGTATAATAGCTTTCAAGAAGAATCATCCAATTGATTATATGGATATGATGAGATCATTTGAAGAAAAGAAAAAGACATTTAAACCTAATGATACCAAGGTCTGTAGCAGAATTGCAGCAACATTGTTGGAAATAAGCGAGGAAAATTGTCAAAGTAGCTTTGAAGATATTGCAAGCAATTCGCAATATGCAAGAGGAGTCCACGTAAAAAGAGATAAACTGTTTATTGATGTCAAAATTTTTCTTGAATTTTTCAAACATTCACTATCAAAACTTGTCAAAGACATAAATGAAGTCCTTCAACATAAAAGATGTCATGGTGTCAGAGCTATCATGTTAGTTGGAGGGTTCGCTGACTGTGAACTATTGTTTAATGCAGTGAAACAAGCTTTTCCAGATAAAGATGTATTTGTGCCTCATGAAGGCAGTTTGTCAGTTCTCACAGGTGCTGTTATTTATGGTCACATACCTAAAATTGTATCTTCACGTGTGTGCAATTTCACTTACGGTATCTCTATTTTAGTACCGTTCCAACGAGGCATGCCACAAGAGAAGAAGGTTATACACGATGGAAAATTATGTTGTGAAGATGTTTTTAGGATCGCATACAAAATAGACACTGTAGTCAATGTAGGCCATACAGAAAGGATACCTGTAAGTACGACGTTCTTTGATCCCGAGATACAGCATCTACGAAAACAACCATTGTCAGTCTCTGTCTACATATCTGACAAGAGTGATCCAAAATATGTGACTGACCAAGGATGCAGAAAACATTGCGTTTTTCAAGTACCCCCAGTTGAGGGTGAATGGCCAAAAGAAGTCTATGGGTATATTGATTTTGAAATAGCAGGGACGGAAATGATTGGTACTTATGTTGATCCATACACCGGTGATATTGTCACATCAGTGAAAATTGAGTTTCTGCCAAAAACAGAAAACAATCCCTCAGATGACCAAAGGCGACGTATTTACGATCCTGAAATGAGTAATTCGGATAATGAAATTCAATAAGGAGTAAAATTCATTCTTCTATAATATGAACTGAAAGATATAACATGGTTTACCGTAGTTCAGTGTTTAAGAAACATTAATTTTATTTAACAGTTTTAAATACATTTTTACAGCAACAATTATTAGATTTTTAAATGATTTCAATAGCTCTTGTAGTTCAAACTGTTTTATGAAGTCGTTCAATGAAGACTTTTTTCAGAAAATGTTGTCTTTAAATTAATTTAAATTTTTACAATCAACCACTTGAAAATGTGAGTGTCAATACCACAGGATATATAGGAATGATCGTTCAAAATTGGAAGGTGATCATTTGCTGCTTCATATGTGGCACCCGTCGTGGTGCTCATGTAAGTACAAACCCGGTAAACACGTAATCTGGTATGTCAAATTTAAAGAGAAGATGACGGGATTACGGTTACGACAATTGGAACATATTTGACCCATATTTGTCGTAATCTTTTAAAGAAAACGTTGTCTTTAAGTCGGTTTTATTTTTCTATACCTTTTATCGCTTCAAAATCTTAAAGTCCCAATACTGCAGAACGTTTTGAATGTGTGTTAATGAGATTCTTCTTTACCAGTAGTACATTGAACTTTGTACCATAACTTGACAATGCTGGTACAATTAAATAATTAAGGTTTACCGAATTGGCCGTTTGACCCAAAGTATATTTTTTCTTTATCCTGAAATGTTCATCCGAACTCGCACTTATGTGTTTTCTTGCGTAATATGTACCCATGTAAACAAGAAATAAAAATTTTACAAGTGTAAAAAATGTCTTCAACAGGATTCTGAAATATGTTTCATGGTTAGGAGCATAAAAAGTTATGTTATAAGATTATGAATAAAATGGTGTATGGAGGCAATGTTAATAAAATGGTAGCGTCGAGAGGCATATATAGATACAATAAACGGTCTTGGTCATTTATTATATTATCAGAGTTAATATAATTTCCCAACCTTTCTATCGCCGCCCTTGGGTCTAAAAAATAAATTTAGATAAACGATCAGATACCAAAAGCCCCTATATGATAAAAAAAAACCTGAAGACATGGCTAAGACAACTGAAATGTTTCCTGACTATGGAATAAAAACCAAAAATAATACAGGTGCATGCATAGGTCAATGAACAATCAATAGGCACTGTAATAGAATTTTGTAAAATTTTGTATACAACTTGATATAAAAATAAGGAGATATAATATGATTGCCAATGAGACAACTATCCACCAAAGTTTTATTGAAATGGATGTAAGCAATTATAGGCAAACGTACGGTCTTCAACAATGAGAAAAACCCATACCGTATGATCGGCTATAAAAGGTCCCGACATGAAAAATAAGAAACAATTCCTTGATAGAGGGTTGCTACTCACAAGGAAGCTATTAAACCAAGAGTTCCAAGTGGTGAAGTTGGTTGACCGTTATGGAATATCCGTTTCACAGATGATAGCGGATATGTTCCTAATTTCGTAACTACAATTCCGTCCCCTTTTCCCGAACTTTATTGTGACTTTCGAATAAGACTTATTACCGGGTTTGTACTAACATGACGGGTGCCACATGTGGAGCTGGATCTACTTACCCTTCCGGAGCACCTGAGATCACCTCCAGTTTTTGGTGGGGTTCGTGTTGCTCAGTCTTTAGTTTTCTATGTTGTGTTTTGTGTACTATTGTTTGTCTGTTGGTCTTTTTCTTTTTTAGCCATTTATTTTCAACTTATGAGTTTGAATGTCCCTCTGGTATCTTTCGCTGCTCTCTTTCATAACAAAACTATTTACGAAAAACAAATATGACAGACATGAACTAACGACAACCACTAACACCAGGCTCCTGCCTTACTAGGACAGGCACATATAGAATGCTGAGCATGTTAAACACTTACTGAAAATCCACAAAAAAATAATTTATTTCACTGATAAATCAGCTTGAATAATCATCCGGAGAATCACTTTAATGATGTACTCATAATCATATTGTCACCGAATTCGGGTTTGTCGAGCCTGCGATATATATGTCGCGGAAGCGAGACATAGTGATCCTCCATTCCGTTGTCGTCGTCGGCGGCGTCAACATTTAGGTTCAGTATGTGGTTAAGTTTTTTAGACATCAATAATGTTGTCAAACCTTCATGACATTTTATGAAATTAGGACAGAGGCTTTTTTATGACCAAAAGGAAATATCCAGATCAAAAATGTGAAAATATTTAATTTCATTGTTTTCCGTATTTTACTGATAAACGACTTAGCTTTTATTGCAGTTAACATTAAAGATACAGTCTGGTGTTTAAGGCCGTCATTTTAGAATTGAATGCTTCTTTTTGTAAATTTATTGGGGTGTAAAAGCGTTGACCGAAGTACATTTTGTATGAAGCGCGGAAGCGCTTCATTCTAAAAATGTGCGCACGGTCAACGCTTTTACAACCCTATAAAATTACTAAAAGAAGCATTCAATACTTATAATTACATTTTTTTGCTAGGATCATGAAAACACGATTTCTATCAAGTTTTTCTTTTATTTACCTTTTATTTATTGTGGAAGCTCGTGTCATCATGAATGTTACATTTCATTTTGAAATGAAGGTTAATTTCACAATGACGCGAGATTGCTGTTAGCCAATCAAAATAACGTATTATAATGAAACATACATGTAATGTAATTATACATCAACCAATTTGTCAACCTTTTGTGAAAACTTTGTCAGAAGCTTTTGTACGATAAAGAGGTAATATCTGATTTTTTTCATGTACTCCTTTTTTAGCTTACCTGGCCAAAAGCCAAATGAGCTTTTCTCATCACTTGGCGTCCATCGTTCGTCGTCGTCGGCGTCGTCGTCCGTTAACTTTTACAAAAATCTACTCCTCTGAAACCACTGGGCCAAATTTAACCAAACTTGGACACAACCATCGTTTGGGTATTAGTTTTAAAAAATGTGTCCAATGACCCCGCTTGCCAACCAAGAAGGCGGGCATGGCTAAAAATAGAACATGGGGTAAAATGCAAGTTTTGCCTATTATTTTGAAAACTGCTATTAATAGAGAAATTCTGACATTGGACAAAAATGTTCAAAATAATGAGCTCTAACTATTGTCCATATAGATCAAAACTGTCAGACGATTTCTTATAGGAGTTATTGCCCTTAAATGACAAATTTTACCATTTTTAGTTGTTTTCCCCTATTACCTCGAAAATTATAAAAGATAGACAGAAGCATTAAATAGCAAAAATGATCAGAAAGACAAAATCTACAAATCAGTCAACAAGTCCAAAAATCGTCAGACGACTCTTTGTTTCAGTTATTGCCCTTTAATGACGATTTTACCAAATTTTGCGTTTTTGCCTAATTTCTGGAAAACTGTGATAGATATAGAAAGAAACTTTAAATAACACAAATGATCAGCAAGACATAATCTACAAAACAGCCAACAAGACCAAAATTGTCAGACGATCCCCTTATTGGAGTTACTGCCTTTCAATGACGATTTTTACTATTTTTTTGCGTTGTTTGCATAATATCTTGAAAACTGTGATAGATATATAGAAACTCTAAATAGCACAATTGATCAGCAAGACAAGATCTACAAATAAGACAAATGGCCAAAGTCTTTAGTCGACTTGTCATTGGAGTTATTACCCTTTAATGATAATTTTTTACGTTTTTTATGCATTTTTTGCCTATAATCTTGAAAACTATAATTGATTGATTGAAACTTTAGAAAGGAAAAATTGTCAGCAGGATAAGATTTACAAATATGTCAACATGACTGAAATTGTCAGTTAACTCTTCATGGAGTTGTTCCCATTTAATGTTGATTTTTACTAAAAAGTTACCATAGTTTAAGATGCAGGTTAGCGACACATGCTCTTTAGAGCCTCTAGTTTCGTTTTACAGTATTTTACTTATAGCTGGATTTTTGCAATTAACATTTACAGACTGTCTGGAATTAGTGCTTTTAACATGATAAATTTGTAAACCTTCATGGATTGTTATGAAACTTGGACAGATGCTTATATTCAAGGTAAAAAAAAAGCATCTGAAGAAAAAAGTAAATTAAAACAAAAATTTGTAATTTCATTATAATGGCCTTTTTTTACAATCAACATACATTGTAGCACTTATATATTGAATACAGCAATCGAAGGCGGAACAATTTACGGGTTTTTTTTTACAGCTTAGTCATAATCAAATAAACATACATTTCTACCATAAACTTAGAAATGAACACAACTTCGTTACGCTCCAAAACCGTAAAAAGTAGTGTTTAGGCGTGTTTCACAACAAACAAGGTAATAGACTTAATATGTCTTTTGATTGAGTCAAGCCATTTCAATTGATATTTTATATTGTGTCTTTCTATGTTGTGATGTTACACTATTGTTTCAGGTTAGGGTGAAGGTTGGTGCCTATTAAAACGTTTAAACCCGCTGCATTTGTTTGCACCTGTCCTACGTCAGGAACCTGATGTTCAGTAGTTGTCGTTTGTTGATGTGGTTCATATGTGTTTCTCGTTTCTCGTTTTTATATAGATTAGACCGTTGGTTTTCCTGTTTGAAGGGTTTTACACTAGTCATTGTTGGGGCCCTTTATAGCTTGCTGTTCGGTGTGAGCCAAGGCTCCGTGTTGAAGACCGTACTTTGACCTATAATGGTTTACTTTTACAAATTGTGACTTGGATGGAGAGTTGTCTCATTGGCACTCATACCACATCTTCTTATATCTATTAACCCGATTTTTACTTGTCATGTGCAAACCGAAGTGTGCCACTATAGAGCAACTACCCTTCCGGATCTCTTTCAAGTTGTCTTTTGTCGGTGCCATATCTTTTTATAATGGTCCTGTCTATCCTGTATCCTTACATACTGATTTAGTTTCAAACTTTCACATTCATGAATAAGGATTAGAGAATAAACATGTATTGATGATTATAAATTCGATATTGTCTAAGGGTAAGATAAAATACATATATCTGTCCACTACTGTATTATGCCTTATTTTTAGTTTTTAACATGACTAATGCAACAGGATGGGTGTGACTGTTGTTGGGTGTACTTCTACTTGCAGAAAAGGTACAAGAAATGTTTGCGGGAAAAGAAAACATCAAATTTACAAATCAAACATGCTTTAAATAATTATATGTATAATTTTAGAACAAAGTTGTCGAATTTCAATTTCGATTCGTCATTATTGTAGAATGTATTGCAATATGTTTGGTTCTCAATGTTATTTATTCTTTAATTGATACAGATTTGTCTTTGTGGTCTGTGATGTCAATCGTTGTCCTTCCTGGGTCATCTCGATTGTATATTGTCCTTTTGGTTGTAAACAGTGTTCTACATTTTTTATTCTCGAGTATTTTTTATATGAATAAAAAAAGATATGGGGTATACGTCAATGAGACTGCAATTCAACGACAATAAAAACCAAAAGACATGCTTTCTTCATC